GGTAAATACTATTGCAAGCCAATGATGGTAACGCTATTCCCAATGTCAGTGGACACAGGGTGGCAGCTCTGGCCAATGAGTCAGGGTAAGAGGGCTTCTGGCAAACGGTTCCCTCATTCTTTAGACGAAAACATGGAAGAGATACCCCTGTTCTTCCACGGACGTTATATCTGGGTGTGAAACCGAGAATTGCACGATGAAGAAGGCAGTGTGAGGGCAGAGCTGACGTGGTTAGAATGACAGAGCAGACAGGTAGAAAGAATCCGGGCCCCTTATGAGGTCCCAGAGTTGCTGAATCACCAAATCTGTGCGTTTACCTATTCATGTACTAATGTTACGAAAAAATAAATTTTCCTAGTAGTTTAATTCCTGTCCAAAGCATCATAACTCATATGGCCAGGGACCATGTTTACACACATTTTTACTCCATCCGGACCTAGCAGCTGTTGTTGGGTGCTATGAGCAAAGGAGGAGTGGATGTTGAAAATGAATAGGCTGGAGAGGGCAAAGAAAGACTCAAGAATGTTCAGGGTTAGAAAAATCAAAACCACAATGAGATATCACCTCACACCTGTCAGGATGGCCATTATAAAAAGGAAAAACAAAATATAACAAGTGTTGGTAAGGATGTGGACAAACTGGAGTCCTTGTACACTGTTGGTGGAATGTAAAATGGTGCAGCCATATGGAAAACAGTATGAAGCTTCTTCAAAAAATTAAAAATAGAACTACTGCATGATCCAGCCATCCTACTTCTGGGTATTTATCTAAAAGCAGGGTCTTGAAGAGATAGTCGCATTCCCTCGTACAATGCAGCACTCGTCACAATAACCAAGATGTGAAGGCAACCTAAATGGTCGTTGGATGGATGAAGAAAATGCAGTATATCCATATGATGGAATATTTTCAGCCTCAAAAAAGAAGAAATTCTGTCACACGCCACAAAATGGATGAACCTGGAGAACACTATGCTAAGCGAAATAAGCCGGTCATAAAAAGACAGACACCGCGTGACTCCACCTATGTGAGGTATCTCACGCAGTCAAGCTGACAGAAGCAGAAACTAGAATGACGACGTTAGAGGCTGGGGCAAGGGGGAAGCAGAGACCTGCTGTCCAGTGGGTATAACGCTCTAGTTGCGCAAGGCGGAGAGCTTGCAGAGCCCTGCCGCGCAGCACTGTGCTGCTTATCGTTGACAACGTGCTGTGCGCTTAATTTGTTAAGAGGGTAGATCTCACATTGTGTTTCTTCACAACAATGAAAAAAAACCTACCTTGTAAACTGGAAATTCCAACTGGAAATTGGAGCAGCTTGTATTAAAGGTTTAGAATATATTCTCCTTTTATATTTTACTATTAAGCCTAATTCACAAATGTGAAAATGAAAATGTGAGTTGTCTCTGATGAGTAAGTATAGCTTTCTTAAATTCAAATAAGCAATGGCAGGATTGTATTTAGAATCTGACAGAGAGAACACAGCATCACCCCCTTCCTCTTTTTTATGTGATACTAAGATAGGGGAAAGGGCTTTGGTCTTATCTCAAATATTAAAATTCTGACTTAAATGAATAACATTTAGTCAAAAGTAAATGTTAAAAAAAAAAAAAAAGTCCTGGATTAGTACAGGCCCAATTCTTCACTGCCTTTTATCGCTGTCCCTAGTATCTCTTCCGGACAAATGCAGCCCTCTCTCAAGGCTACTCTCTTGCTGTATGAACCTATTATTTCCATTCCGAGTAGAAGGAAGGTCTGAGGACAGCTTATCTTTTGGGGGCCAGTGGAGCAGAGGTGGAACTCTTATGTAACAAGAAATAGAAGTAAGTTCACTGGACTGTGTCAAAAGATTCCTTAGAATTTATAGCCCTGGGGATGTCATGGTATTGTCCAGTTGTCAACTTAATGATTTTGTGCCACACATGAGCCAGAACTGGCAGCAGATTCAAAGCTACAAAGGTGGCTAAATACAAGTGAGGGGAAGGTATGCGGAGAATGAGGCAGAAAACAGGGCTGCCCACCTACACCTACCCAGAATAGCATCTTGGCCCTCACTGACCGAGCTAAAGGACCAGCTCTAATACGTCCAGCTGGACCCCTACAGGTACTCACCAATGGTGGAGACGCTGAGCTCTGCCTGTGAAAGTATAGGGTGGGAGATGCTTCAAGAACTTTGGAGCCATACCATCATTGTAATAATCAACTTTTAAGGCTGGAACGGCCCATGATACATTATTTCATTCACCTCCTTGCCTTTGGCAAGAATAGCACACCTAAGCCTCCGAAGTACATCAGAACACAACTGATGGTTAAAAGCCTCTAGAGGGGCAAAAAGGAAAAAGATTTCACAACTTTCTTCCACAAACCACTTTAATTGTGCGCTTGTCACCTACTTCATGGTCTAAGAAACCTGACACTTGCTCTTCACACCAGCTGGGAGGGTCTCACATTCAGTGGAAACAGGGTGCTAACAGGCAAGGGTGAAGCTAAAGTGACACCCTCGAAACCTCTTTGCCAGCTGTTCACATACGTTTAACGTACAGCACTTCCCTTGGGACTTTCCATCTGCCTGCTTTTCTACTAGCAATGCCTCTTAAGTGTTCCTTCTTTCTAACACACGCTGCGGCCTGACAGGGCACCTTTACCTTCATTGCTGCTGTTCTTAAAGACTAATTAGAGCCTTAAGGAACAGGAAATAAAAAGCTATTCCCTGCAAATTTGCTAATATTATCTGTTCAGAGTAAAAGGTCCCTGCCCAAAACTTATGCAGAGAGACCCCTTCATCACCTGGCTTCCTAATCTTTGGGCATTCTCAGCCATGGGGCAAGTGCTTTCCCTTCTCTTTGGAAACACAGGCTGAATATGCAACTTGCCAAGTGGTTTTGCTGAAGATAGACGGAAGGTCACTAATTCAAAAACTCATATTGCTCTTGTGCAGGGGGTTGAGAGGAAAGCTAATAAATAAAATCTGTGGTGCAACTCCCTGTCAGGAAAGGGTGTGAAGGGTGGGGTGGATTTACCAGAAGCTTTGGCAGTCTGCTTTGAAGTCTTCTGGACAGGAAAAGTGTAGCCACCCAGGGAAGCAGCCTTCATGACATCCTCCATAAGCTGATATGTTGGAAAACAGCCGATGAGCAAGAAGTCCCTTAAGAAATCTTTTCCTTCGTTCTCCTCCTGGAATTGTTGGGAAACTAGGGAGGACTCAGGGGTCTGGCTTTCAGCAGTGGCCTTGAATGAATTTTCAGTTTCCAGGTGGGAACAGAGAGCTCAGAAGATTGTTTTCTCCTCCAAGGAAATCTGGCTATAGTTTTACTATTCTATCCAGAGCTTGTGTGTTAGTGGATTAAGTACACGTGTGCACAGGGCCAGGCTTTTGGCAAACAATGATAGGGAGGAGGGCAAATGGAGAAGCAAAAGGGGCTCATTCCTCTACCTCACAGCTTCCTTTTCTAAAGGAAACAGGATCTACTCACCAGCAACAATTCAAACACCACAAAATGGACATGGAACTGGATGAGCATGCAATTGGGATAAAGATCCCCCCATTGCCTGCTACAAATGGAATAGAACCGGAGGGGAGAATTGAGCCACTGACCCGTGCCTTCTGAGCTACATCCTAGTTCCAGAAGGCACAGGCTTCCTGACTGCTCTCTGGGTGGCTGAATAACTCCCCTTTCCTGAACTTGGAAGAATGTGTGAATAACCTACGGCTAAGGGGAGACACCCATCCTCTTAGGGTTGCCTGGGGTATCTGAGGCAGAGGTGGTTGTAGCAGACTCCTCAGCAGAGGCACTGAGATCCAAGAATTCCAGGATGATGTCCCCAAGGCAGAAAATTAAATGCCTGAAACAAATGGACAAAACAACTTAGAGGGGGGTCTGGCTCAATCGGGAAACACAAGATCCTGTTTATGGACATTTACTTTCTCCTCCCATGACTGATACTCTAAACTTTAATAGCTTGATGAAGCCTCTGCCATGAAATTAATGTTTGTTGAACTAATAAAGGCTACGACTCCAATAAAGGCAAGCATAGTACTTGAGACGAGGTTTTATAAAATTCCATTTCTCTTTAGATAGTTACATTAGCACATCAGCACTGCTCTGAAGAACTGTGAGGGAAAATCCTTGTGATGTCAGGTTACTAGGAGTTTTCAGAGATTCTGATTATTGCTGTTTCTCATAATTAATCACTATAAATTTACAGGCTGCCTTGCAGGCAATGAGGCAAAACCAGGACCCTTGAGGAGTGGAAGTTAATAGACATAGTCTACTTTGGGACAGGGTTTGAGAGAGGAATGCAAGATTACTTAATGCTTTCCAGAAGCATTCCAGCCCAAGAAATGAAGTCTATCCCTTCTGGATGATTCTACAAGCCTGGTCCCTTTATCAGTCTCACTATCTGGCCTACTATGCCTTGTCATTAAGCAAAGATAACTCCTGATCCTAACACTAATCGTAGCTTTGCTATGAGGCCATAACCCTACGTTGAAAAATCATACAGCATATCATACACAGGCCAGGGCATGCTCTCACAGGGCTGGTGGATGCTGGAAGAGCGTGGAACAAGCCTACAGCCTAAAAGGGCATTTTCAGCAGCTCACATGGGGGCCTGCATAGAGTTCTTCCAAACGGAAATGGTAGTTGATCCAAGAGTAGCTTACTACCACATGATAACCTGCTCTGAAGCCTGAAAGGGTGGATTTTACTTAGTGTGTGTAGATTTGGACATCACACCTTGCAATCAGGGGCCCAGCACCAGTAAAGACTACACTCCCGTTTTTCCAAATGTGGGCTTTTCACTTAGAAACCTTAGATACCTCTGAAACCAGAGACAGCCGTGGTTATGCTGATGTTGAGTACATGTTTTTCAGCCTACCTGTTGATGAGGGGTTGTTGTAGTGACTCCAGGACTAGACCCCAGCTCAGCTGACATCTGTTCACCCCAAGGATTTCTACTACAAAGTCTGATAAGGAGAAAACAGATGGGATTTTCACATTACCATCGAAGCCCTAGACTCTAAGGAGATTCTCTCCCCAGGATCTCTGTCGTCTTCACACAGCTTGGCTATGTCTGGCATACCTTTAAACCACATAGCCAAATGACAATCCTCAGAAAACAGGGAAAAGCTAAGAAGAATATGTTCCTTAAGTTAGGTGTTTAAATAAGAATGATCCTCAAAAAATAATTTTGTAACCTGCCACCAAAGTGCAGGTACTACTTCTGATGTCACAGTTCAGGCTGGCAAAGAGAGGGTTAATAAGCGTAAATAAAACTGAGGGTCCAGAACTGAGTTCACTGCTACTCCCTGGTTACCACAGCCACAGGCAACAAGCTACCTTCCCTGCCCTCCAAAAACAACACAGAGCGAGAGGGAAAAACCTTCTCAGGCTTTGTTTTCACTTACTGCCAAGGACCAAGCCTCCTACTCAATGGCTGCAATTTACCAAGTCTGAGCTTCTGGAGGACATGTCATTTTCTTCCCTGGTCCCAAATGCCATGAGTTGGCAGAGCACCCAACGTCCTCACCTGGTAGGAGCAGCTCTGAGACCTGCCCCTGTAGGGAGGAGGGCACAGTTTCCCCAGGCCTGCCCAAAAGTTATTAACCCAAATATCTGTGGATTCTCACCTGGTATTTAGGGTACAGCCACAGTGGTCCTTCCCATTCCCTCGGCATCACCTCGGTGAGGGATACAAGAATCGCAGCCCTGATCATTTTCCTCTTAGCCTGAGAGCTGGTGGGTCAATGGGTTTTGAGTTTAGCCTCATTCAAGGCCCTTTTAAAACCAGGGAGGGGCATGTGGAAACGGTGGCAAAGCAGGATGAAAGGGGAATAGCTACGAGTATAACTGATCCCACCGGTCCCATTACCTGGCAGGACTCCCACCAGGCTCTGCAAAGCCTGTTTCTCAGTAGCCACTTTCTGCTCCCGAGTCCTTGCAGGCCGAGGAAACTTGGGCAAAACTCCACCAGGCCAGATGGACTCCCGAAGAAGCCGGAGGTACTGCACCCAACGCTGTGGACTTGTTAGATTAGCCACCTGCACCTCTAGCCACCTGTGGTGGAAGAGAGAAGGAAGCTCAGATGAACATGAAAGGAAGGGTGTGTGCAGCAAGGCAAGGGACTGAATGTTTGTGTCCCCCCATTCGTATGCTGAAATGCTAATCCCCATGGTGATGGTATTAGGAGGTGGGGCCTTTGGGAGGTGATTAGGGAGTGGGGCTGCAGTCCTCATGAATGGGATGACTGTTCTTACAAAAGAGAACCCACAGAGGTTCCCTGCCCCTTTGGCTATGTGAGGACACGGAAAAAACAGCTGTCTATGAACCAGGGTGCAGGCCCTCATCAGACACCAAATCTGCTGGTGCCTTGATCTTGGACTTCCCAGCCTTCAGAACTGTGAGAAATACATTTCTGTTGTTTATAATCCATCCGGTCTATGGTATTTTGTAGCAGCCCAAATGGACTTAGACCCCACGCATCAAGTGAGCAATCAGAACAGGGCAAAGCAAAGTCAGCACCAACTCTGACAACTGCAACAGCCGATTCAACGACTTGGGAACCACAGGATTTGACCGGAGCAACAGTAATGACAGCGTTATTCACTGAGTATGAGCCACATGCTACACTAGGGGTTTTACAAAACAGAATTCTAAAAGGGCCTTGGTCTCTGGGAGAGGCTGCACACACCACTACAGCTCTCCTCCAGTGAGAAGCATTATAAACTTGTCAGTAACATGTACACGTGGGCTTCAGAGTTAAGTGTTCGTGATTTTTACACAAATCCCTCCCCCTCCCCACCCCAGCCATGTCCAGTTGGTCTTCAAGTTCCTACGACCTGCCTTGAGGATTTCCTACACCTGCCCTTTGCTCCTAACAGTCCTCTCACTGACAAGGCCCTCTCCTCTGCAGGGGCTGAAGTCCGCCCTCCTGGCAAGGCCTGTTTAAACCCCACCTCTCCTCCTTGAAATCCTTCTTGACCACCCCAGCGACAACTGCTCTCCTTTTCCTTAGACCTCCTTAGGCATGCAGTTCTACAGCACAGGTTTGGAGCTAATATTTTACTCTGGAGTATGAATTACTTTATCATGTGTTTATAGCTTTACTTCTTCAACTAAACTATACATGCTGTAGGAGTTCTGTGTCTTGTATTTTTAAAAAACTTTCCATAGTGCCCTGGTGCTCAAGAAATGTTTGTTGATTGACTGGCAATTGTTCTTATTACAATGGAAATGTCCACCCTTGCTCTACTTTCAAAAATGAGTCAATTACTCGGAGCGGACAGATACGCCACATCTGGAGTTCAGTTGAAACCTGGCAAGTGTTTTATATTATTCTTTTTTTGTCTCTGTATTTTTTTTCAGAGCAACATGGTCACTAGCTGAGGTTCAAGACCGTCGAGGCCTCCTCAGTACATACCTCATTTAAGACTGGCATGACTGTTGGTCACGGATGGACAATGAACCACTTCCACTCGTGCACAGAGGACTCTGTTTGGTGCTGCACCACATGGCAGCTCACGCCATTGCTCCTATACCCGCGACACCTGTCGCCCATCCAAGAGCAGAGGGGGTTGCCAAGGCAAACTTTATTTAACCTCCACTCTGCCAGACAGTCTGCATTCCACTCAAGCTGGGCATTCCAGCCTTGGGGGCTGCAATCCCCCAAGCCCAGGGCTCACAAATGGTTCTAAGAATAGGAAGTCTGAAAGGTAATAGCAGGGCAAGAATGGCAGACATCGATGGAGATCAAGAGCGGCACAAAGCTGCTCTTGCCCAAAATAGCCATCACGATCGTATTTGTTATTATTAGGGCTGCATCTCCTTTTTATAGGGCTTTTCATTCAGCGAGCCTAAGACGCCTGATGAAAGGGATCCAGTAGCAAGAATTCCTGTTCTTGTTTACATAAGAGGGTCACCAGAGGGAGGTGGCTGCAATGACCTGGTCAGCTTCTCTGCAGGGGATCAGGTAACTCAAGGTCTCCCTTCTTCACCTCAAGCCACATACACTTCTGTGCCTTACGCTGAGGTGAATGACTATGAGAGGGTCTCATCGAAGTGATTTGAGGGAGAAGGGCAAGGTCTTGCAAGCCAAAATATTTAAGTCCTCTAAGGAGCCAAGAACAAGATACAGTCCACTAGAATTAGTTCTAGCTCAGCTGGTTATTCACACACTCATATAATAAGCCAGTTTGCCCTTATTTCTGTCCTCTGGTGCCAATAATGATGGTGGCTCAAACTCTTCAAAGCTATCTCAGCAACCTCTCAATCCCTTTGAGACTGGGCACTTACACACCAGCAAATCTGGGTACCTCAGACACCTTCCATGCACGTCTTACACAGCAGGAGTTTGATTGTTCTGCATTAATTCATCCGATGGGGACAGGACCTCACATTGCATTAGGGCAAGGATGTCCTCCTTGTTCTCTTCCATGGCGATTTAGCATCTCATGTACATGTGCTGGGTGCAAAACAAATTTCAGCATGTGGCAAAATAAGAATTTATAAATTTACTAATAAATAAATAAATTTAAAAATAAATAAACTAAAAATAAAAATTTTATTTATTATAAATTTACAAATCTATTAGACTATGACTCATCAAACTTTAAGCAGGAATGGTGGGAAGAAAATCAAAGTATGAAAAAGTAAAAATAAGCATCTGATGATGAGGATGAGTCTGTGAATAAAATTTGAGGGCACTAACAAGCAGAGCTAACCAACAAAGAGAACTGAACCTACCAAGTAAATATCAACTGCAGATGGGACGAAGACACTTGTCAAGCACTGTAAACCTGAGGCACAGAGCTGGTGCACAGACGGCCCTGGAAGTCAGTCCCAGGAATGTAAGAACAAGACTCGTACAAACATGGAGAAATAAAACAAACTCCATCCAGGCTGACAAAGAGGGACGAGGTGAGAAAGTGGCTTCTATCTGCTGGGTGCTGCAGAGCGCCAGCTCCCCTGACTCTCCCCCACACCCTGAAGGTGAGAGACACAAACCACGTGCCTGCGCCACACGTGGTCTAAACGTTCACTTGCTCATCACGATTCCCCTCTTGCCCAGCTTCTTCCCAGCCCCTCAGCGAGCACAGCCTTTCTCCCAGACCTCTGGGCTCCACCTATGTAGAAGATCAAGTGCAACAATTTTTTTTTTTTTCCACAGAAACTTCTGAGGTGTAGGGTCTCATCATGAATGATGAACATTCCAGTCTGGAAGGAAAAAACGTCAAAGCCCAAACCAAGAAAATCACAGCTACTACTGCCACTGCCTCTCAAAATATAATCTCTAAAATTTGTAAGCTGTAATGCAATTTCCAAGACATGCTTTATCATCACACACAATGCCTTTCTTAAGTTGTAAATCTCCAGATTCAGGGATTTGTTATAATTTACCTAGCTTGATACCCAATAGAACCAAATGCCAATAGGTTGTTGATAACAGTGAAGACAGTGGGGGTTTCTTCATCCAATGATCTCTTCTCTCCCCTTCCCCTTCCTTTTATTCTATTATCCTTCTCTGAAGTGGAGCTCCGTACACACCACCATTTCTTCATCTAACTTTATGACCTCCCTCAGTCTCGCTCAGTTTATTTGGAAACTCAGCTAGAGCAGGGAAGACAAAGAGATTAGATACAGGGGTGTCAAAAGAGACACTGAGCCCTCAAAGCCTCCTCATTAACTGCCTTCATCTCTCTATTCCACATGGCACCTTTCTATTCTTAACATAGGTTAGGAAGGTTAAAAAGAGATATGTATCCCTAAAGCTCTCTGTAAGCAAAAGGAATAGAATTTATGTGTCTGAAGTCCAATATATGTGGGAGCTTTTCCAGCATCAGTTTCTGGAATCTGTTGGTACCACTCAGGGTTAGGCTAACAGAAATCTGAGGTTTCAAGGTGAATATACACACATATATTTTTCCCACTACTCATTATAAATTACTTATAATAAATCATTTACTAAATACAAACGCTATTGTTTATGTAACACAAGATGCATGAAGTAAATATGCTAAAATAAATATAGTAGAGAATAGCCTCAAATAGCAATGGTTTTATTTTCCATCACTATTCAGGTTTGATTTAGAGACACCTCTTTCTACCATCCTGCCTTAACCCCAAATAAAAGAAGAAGAAGAAAAAAAAAAAAACCAAACTAGGTCTGTTCTGTCACGCCATCTCTGAATGATTCAGAGTCTTACTAGGGGGCCCACAATAGCTAATGAAATGGCAAAACAACGACGACGTGGCACTGAAACATTCAAGAGCTTCTCCTATGCCGGGCCAGGAAGGAGGGAGGATGTGGAGATTAGTGCTTGCCACTCCACTGGGACTGCACGTCTACTCCATGTTCAAGGGAACCTGGTCTGAAATAGCTACAGATAGAGGAATGAAGCAGTGGCTAAAAAGGAGACAGTTTAATACTAGGGCTTAAGATGGCACTTCAAGGTTAGTAGAAGGTCATTTCCCATCAAAATAGCAGAATCAAATCTCATGAGAAAGGAGAGAAGGCTTTAAAGACCATGTCTAGTCCAATTAGCCAAATCCTCTTCACTTCTTTTCTGAGACAGCTGCCATGGCTGGATGAGGAAGGGTCCTGAATCGATATGGCTTAATGAGGAGGAGAGAGGGAGGAGGGTATTGAAGTCATAAAATAGAAAATATTCATAAGAGCGATTACAACATCCTAAATAAAAATGCCTGGTGCAGTCTAATGAGAGAAAACAACAGGCCCGTTACTTCGGCCTTCGTATCCACTGGGCTGTACCTGTGTAGACAATCCAAGGGCGATTATGGTCCAACATCATCTTAAGGTACCAAATACAGTTCAAAGGAAAAGAGAGAGAGGAGGAAGATCAAGTTAAAGCTTTCATCATTCCAAATAGACCTCCCACAAATTGGAAGTATTGGCTCATTTTATTACCCCTAGAGCAGGGTTTCCAACCTTGGTAGTACTAATGTTTTCAGACTGCTAAATTGTCATAGGGGACTGTCTTGTGCATTGTAAAATGTTCAGCAGCATCCCTGTCCCTCCTTCCCCCAAGCTAGATGCTAGC